GGGAACAACAGCAGCTGGGTACAGAGGTAAGCTATACATTACATTTCTGTGAACAAGATTATCAGAATCAGAAATCCTTGGTTGTCCCACAAACCGGGACATTTGTTTAATAACATGTTTAATGTGCAATAACTGTAAAAACTAATTTCAACACACATACTTTTTATACATATTTAATCAAGTAAATGTGTATTTCATGTAAATTTGTACATACATCAATCTGATTCCATTTTACTTGTTACACTTCTGCTGCAGCAAACAAATTTCCCAGCTTTTGGGACAATTAAACATTTCTGATTCTCAATCAGATGTTTTTACCTCAAATGTAAAAACATCTGATTGAGAATCAGGTTTTATTGTCCCAAAAACTGGGAAATATGACATTTGTAAGAGGATACTGATGACATTATTTCCTATGAAAGTGTTTCCTATGTACTTATCTGTTGTTTTTTATTTATCATATGACAGGTTTTTCACACCATCCTGAGCCATGCAAAAGAAGATTCTTGTCACCACACCCATGACCACAGCCGAATCAGAAAGGTGCTTTTCTACTTTAAAGAGGATTAAGGCTTTCCTTGAGGAACACCATGACACAGGATGGGCTGAATGCTCTTGCCAAGCTCTCCATGGGAAAAAAAGCTTGTCACAAACATTCCTGACTTCAATAAAAAGCTCATCGAGAGCTTTGCCACTCAGAAGGACAGAAGGGCAAAATTTCTGTACAAATGAGGTATCACACACACACAAATGCATCCACTTGATCTTTGTATAAAGTTGACCTTGGCACAACACTCCAGAAATATTTAACAGTGTAAATTTCTGGCATTTTGTCTAAGTAGTGTTTACTACCATTACTGTAACAGTGACCTGCTCATAATTTTTGGTGTTCACTCAAATGTTGAAATTAAACAAAATGTTTATAATATATATATATATATATATATATATATATATATATATATATATATATATATATATATATATAGATACATATATACATATATATATATATATATATATATTTGTTACTTGCCTCTTGCATTGCCTATTTACCATTTATGGTCGTGTTATTTTATGTGCAATTTAATGCAGTATTTTTCAACCTTGGTCTGCTTGGCAGCGTGCCAATAGTCAGACACACCTGGATTAATCAGTTTGTCCAATGATGTAAGACAGGAAATAAAAGAGCTGTGCTTAATTCAGGAAATAGTGAAGTTGTGCACAAAGCTCAGAAAGCACAAGTTTGTTTGAAAATAAAAAAATAGCACAGCCCCAGCAAAAATTTTTTCCACCAGCCGCCACTGCACATCAGCGCATGTTCTCTGGTATTTTGTACTTTTCTGACGTGCTTTGCATCAGCTGAGTTCATAATCTGGGCTCCGGTGATTTCAACTCATTGCTGCTGGAGCGCCGCGCATGTGAAGATCCCTTTGGCTGATAGTTAGAAAATAGGAAGTCTAGGAAACTGTTTTTCTGGAAGACGGAGAAAACATGCAGCATGCAGGAAGGTTAGGGAGAGAAAGGGCAGGAAATTATTCAAATAAAATCAAGAAAACAAAACAAAGGTCTTGAAAAGAAAAAAGGTAGGTAGATATCTCCATTACACATTTTTACCAGTGAAAAGCAATAATATATAAGCATTTAATATTTATACATGTGATAGAATCAGATCACCCTCAAAAGTCAGTCCCACAACCAGGGCCGTATCAAGGCATTTGGGGACCAAGATTTAAAAGACTTGGAGCCCCCACCACCTCACTCCCTGCTCAATTAACCTAAGATGGCAGCATGCTGAGAGTGCAGATTGTTGTTGCTTTTATTTAATAAACAATCATTCTAAAGAACTGTTTTTAACAGCAGTCCTAGCTCAGACACCACATCACCTTCCACCGGATGTGTCATGAGTTTAACGGGCATCAGATTACCAAACTCATACTGAAGTTGTTTTGTTGAAAGTAACTTGGAGTAATGCAAAAGTAGTGTAATGCCTTACATTTTAAAATCAGTAATATTGTAATGTAATGAATTACTTTAAAATGAGGGTAACAAGTAATAAACAATGTTTTACAGTTTTGAAGTAACTTGCCCAACACTGGTGGTGAGTACATATGTGAATGGGTTCTTGTCTGTGAAGACAGTAAATGTTGGAGAGTAGTAGAGGTAGTCCCTGAATCTCTCACATATGGCACACTTCAGAGCCAGAAGCTCCAACTTTCCTGAGTGAAGGTGGTAATTTTTCTCAGGTGCTGTCAAAGTTCTGGATCCATAAGCAAAATCCATAAGCAAAACTGCAAATGGTCCAGAATTCAGCAGCCCGTATTATCACCAGAACCCCTTCCTTTCACCACATCACCCCGGTTCTCCAGCAGCTTCACTGGCTCCCAGTTAAATTCAGGTCCATCTTCAAAATTCTCCTCCATACCTTCAAAGCAATCCACAACCTCTCTCCTCCATATATCTCAGACCTTATAAGTATTCACACCCCATCCCGTTCACTCAGATCATCTTCTTCCATCCATCTTGCGGTTCCTTCTGCCCGTCTCGCTACCATGGGGAGCAGAGCTTTCAGCCGCTCTGCTCCCCGTCTCTGGAACTCACTTCCCCCAGACATCAGGAACATCGACAGTTTTACCCTTTTCAAAACAAAACTCAAAACACATATGTTTAAATCTGCCTACAACCTCTGATTTTATTGAACTGTTTCTCTCTTTGTTTTTTCTTGTTTGGGTTTTATTATTGTTTTATTGTATTTTATTACGTGTTTTCTGTAAAGTGACCTTGGGTGTCCTGAAAGGCGCTTTTAAATAAAATGTATTATTATTATTATAAGCAATCCCCACCAGCCTTCCTTTCTGCCTCGGTCACACATTGTCACACAAAGGACTAAAACCAGATCCACAAAAAGTAAAAGCAATCCAAGTCATGGCGCCCCCACATAACAGGGCAGAACTGGAAACAGTGCTGGGGATGGTTAATTATTTAGCAAGATTTGCCCCACACCTGTCAGAGATAAACGCGCCGCTCCGCCAGCTGTTAAAGCAGGGCAGTGAGTTTGTATGGGACAAGAACCATGACAGATCCTTTCAACAAATGAAGGAGCTGATCACCAGAGAACCAGGCCAAGTCCTCTCCTTCTTCAACCCCAAGAAAGCGCTACGACTCCAGGTCGACGCATCCCAAAGTGGCCTTGGTGCTGTGATGCTGCAGGATGGCAGGCCAGTTGCCTACGCATCCAAGTCACTTAACAGCACCGAGCGGAACTATGCCCAAATAGAAAAAGAGATGTATGCTGTTCTCTTTGGCTGCAAGTGGTTCCACGAGTACATGTACGGTCGACACGTGACCATTGAATCGGACCACAAGCCACTAGAGTCCATACTCAAAAAAGCACTAGCAGCAGCACCACCACGACTACAGAGGATGATACTACAACTGCAAAAGTACAACATCAGCATCATCCACAAGCCGGGGAAAGACATTCCGGTAGTTGACACACTCTCCCGGAAATCCATAGAGTTCCACGATAAATCACTCTATGACGGGATGGATGCGCAGATCCACACAGTCCTCAGCAACATGCCTGTCAGTGATCAGAGGCTCTCAGAGATAAGAAACGCAAATGCCCAGGCTCCTCAGCTCAACGCTCTGAGAAGGACCACTTTGAGTGGATGGCCGGATAAAAGACCTCAATGTCCACCTGAAATCCAGGAGTTTTGGAACCACAGGGATGAGATCTCACTGATGGACGGGATCATGTTTAAAGGAGAGATAATGATCATCCCAAAAAGGCTCAGAAAGGACATGATTGATCAGATACATTCCAGCCATATGGGAATAGAAAAAAGTAAAAACAGAGCCAGAGACCTTCTGTTTTGGCCAGGCATGGGAAAACAGATCGAGGAAGCAGTCGGAGCCTGCAGCACATGCCAGGAGAGATAAGCTACTAACCCCAAGGAACCCCTGCTGTCACATGCGATACCAGAACGACCATGACAGGTTATAGCCACCGATCTGTTCACTTGGAACTCGGAAGACTACATCATCATCGTCGATTACTACAGTAGATTCTTCGAATTGGAAAGACTGCACAGCTGCACTGCAGAAGCAGTGATCCACAAACTAATGTCAGCCATGGCCAGGCATGGTATTCCAGTGACAGTGATTAGTGATAATGGCCCGTGCTATGCTTCAAGTAAGTTCCAACAGTTCGCAAAGTCATGGAGTTTCGCCCACAGCGCTACCAGCCTCCATTACCCACAGAGCAACGGCCTAGCCGAAAAGACTGTCCAGACAGCAAAAAGCTACTGGACAAGGCCAAAGCTGAACATAAGGATCCCTACTTGATCCTATTAGAATACCGGAACACCCCTGTGGACAACTTAAAGTCGCCTGCACAACTTCTCATGAGCCGGAGACTCCGCTCCATCCTCCCCGCAGCACCAAAACAGCTGGAACCCCAAGTAGTTTGTCAGCAAACAGTGCGTGAGAGGAGAGAAGTCTGCCAGCAGCGCCAGCAAACTTATTTCAACAGGGCAGCCCGACCTCTGCCTCATCTATGTCCTGGCGCACCGGTCCGGTTCCGGCAACAAGATGGTTCCTGGAAATCAGCTGTGGTCGAAAGTTGTGCTGACACGCCCAGAAGCTACAACATAACCACAGATACAGGACAAGTTTATCGCCGTAACCGCCGACATCTCCGCGAAAGCAGAGACAGTGTAGGAGGTGAGCAGTCCATTCAACCAACGGTCATCAGCAATGACAGCGCTGTGGTTTCTCAGCCCCTGCCTGCGGAGCCCCCGATAAAGACATTACAACACCTGGATACACAACTCGATATGGGCGTGTTACTAAACCAAGACAGGTCTTGGACCTGTAATATTGTAAAGGGTGCAGGCGGATCGCTGCCCCCCCCCCCCCCCCCCCCCAAAAAAAAGAACTGTTCACATGTCTATTGTTTCAATGATGTCACTAAATGCATCTGTTCATTATGGTAATGATATAGCCAGTATTGAATTGAGTTGAATGCTATGTTATTAATGGATGCTACTCAGGATGTTTATTCCCGTAATTTCAGTTGCCTGAATTTTTTTTTCACAGGCCTGAGTTGCTTTTGTTGTTGTTTTTTTTAAGAAAGGGGATGTAACATGTTGACCTATTGTTCGCCCAGCCACTAGATGGCGCTGTGTTGTGGCAAGTGAGGATGGAACCAACAAGGAAGAAGTTGAAAGGTTGGATGAGAAAATAAAGTGGAATTGGGATAGAGTTCGGTGTGTGCGCATTTAATAATAAGCTTGGTATCCAGAGAGGATGATACAGTCAACTTTCCTCATGGGGTCACACCCATTAGGACAGTGACGTCAAACAGCTGCACCAGCTCAATAAAACCACTAACAGGGTGAAAAATATAAAATAATGTTGACACAGATGAGCTACAACTTCTGAATCAATTTTACAAATAGCTTTATTAATTATCTTCTGTTGAAAGATCACTTTGAGTGAACGGTATTGGTTGCTGTCACCCGTTGGGATCGTTAAAGCAGCTCTCGGCTGGGCCCTAGTGTAAGTGGGTGGGCCCTGGCCCGGTAGGCTCACCCACACACACGCGGCTGCTGCGGCTCCCAGTGTTTTCTTTACTGTGGGAAACGGGTAATAATGGTTCTTTGATGGGAAAAGATTGCCGACCCCTGTTCTGCGTTGTAATTTTATGTCACAAAAAGTAATCTTTGTGTTTATTGTTGTTCATTTTCACAATTTTTATGGTGTTTGCTGGTGAGAAGAAAAGGGAAAAGAAAGAAGATTGTTAGAAATCAGTTGCGGCATGGTGTTTTCTTCCAGAAAAAACAAAATAGTACCCTTCATGAGCAGTTACAACCCCTTTGGATCTGGGAAAGGAACCACTGGCTGAAAGTTATGAGCCAACATGGGAGAGGAATTGTTTGAATAATTAGAGAAAGTAATTGAAACTCCTGGACCATTGTGAGCAACAAAGTTTTATACAGAGTTAGATAAGAGATGTGTTTCTAGGACCCATCTGGTACTTTAGATCATAATGTTGCACATTACATAGATCATATATTGTACATGTGTTGTATAACTAATACTGGTTAGTGACAATGGCTTTTCGGGTAATAGTCGTTACAGGTGTGGATTCACGCCAAAAGAACTGCGGAGGGTGCGTGACTGCTCCGCTGTGTGCTTCGCACGCGCAGTGTGGGCGGAAACGACTGACTCAGTTGTGAGTCACCGCACGACTGGTCTGTCACACTGCTAATGCCTTCAAGGATAGTGGGAATTTCTTCTTCCGTGTAAAGGTGCTCTGGTTCTTTTGGGGTGAGCATAGTGTTCCATTTGCGTGAGCAGCGGGAAAGTTATAAAACACGCAGATTGATGCGGAGAAGAAAATCAACCACAAGCAAGTCCAAGGATGTCTAAATCATAAATCATTTAATTTTATATTAATAATCACAGGGCAGCTAGCGACGGTGGCCAAAGAGTTAGGAGTTCGCCCTGTAATGGTGGGTTGGAGGTTCGATCTCAGGCTCGTCCGCGTCTGGGCAGGACCCTCGCCTCCGCCCGTCGGTGGTGGTGATCGGAGGCGTACATGATTCATTACGATAGTAGGAGGGACCGATGGTGCCGATTCCTACTCGTCTGCGGACACATGAACGCAGCATGCAGGCGGCTGACGGGACATGGGAGAGTGGCTCTGAGACGCTGGAGCCGCCGGATCGGGACCGAACTTAGGCCTTTATCCTCCCAGCAGAATCTTCAGACCACCGGAGTCGGTCGCTTCACGTCGGTCCACATCAGCACCGTGCTGGACGGGTCCGCCACAGAGGGTGAGTGTGTCCTGGGTCTGAGGGACCGGTGTCCGCTCGCAGATGTTTTCCTTGAATGTTCTCGGTTCCGTTGCTCTCTGATCGTAGTTCCGGGATTTAAACCCCAGGAGAAATGAAAGAAACCTTCCGCCTCCACATGGAGCTAGAGGCGGCTAACTGCTGCCTGAACTCCCGTTCCGGGAGCCTCCGAACCCCCTGGAGAAATACACATTTAATGGAGTTTATACAATATTTAGCTCGAGCTTTCACCAAACCGGGACGGCATTCTAACCCCCAGATAAATAAGTCACGTTCTTCTGATCGGCTTCAGTTTGGAAAGCAGAAGGTTTTATTACAACCTAACTGGCTAAAATGATGCTTCCACTTTAAGGATTAAACGTCTAAAACTGGAACAGTGGAAAACCAGGTGGAGAATTTGTGTGGAAGTTCAGGTTCATCCTTCAGTGTTGGGGGGTTGCTGATGGTTGTTAGTAGTGGTGTTGATGGGGTCAGTGGGGGTGTGGGTTCAACATCCCCTGGGTCTCACTATCCAGCCTCTCTTAGACATATCCAGAAGGCTACAGCTGCTTTTGCTTCAGTGTGCTGATTGGCTCTGATGTCCATGGGGGACTTTTGAACGTTTTTCACGATTTGATGTTTATTTAGACTGTTCCAGGATGTGACTGAACGATGACGTTTAAAATTCGTTTCAGTCTGATTTGTCTCCCTGGAGACCAGAATGAACAGAATCAGCAATGAAATTCTGCTTGTCACACAAAGTTCACCCCAAACTCTTAACTCATGGCCTGCTCACTTACTTGTTTAATCTAGAAATCAGTCTCTGTTACCATGGCGATCTAGAGATCAGTCTCTGTTACCATGGCGATCTAGAGATCAGTCTCTGTTACCATGGCAATCTAGAGATCAGTCTCCATTACCGGGGTGATCTAGAGATTAGGGCTGTCGCGGTTGAGGAATTCCCCCTGCAGTGATTCAGGGTGGCTTAATATTGCGGTGTGCGATATTATTGCAGCATTTTTTTTATTGCAGTACTATCTAAACATAATGTTTACACATTTAAAAAAGGTTAAACATTGCCGTGTCTTCTTTTATAACACTTTACTGAATGCAGATCAAAGGGCAGTAACAACACAGGTCGCAGTAACGTTTGTTTCTCCGACAGTCGGAGTCCGACTGAACTTAAAAACAACAAAATTCAGGAGAAGGTTAAACTTTTAAATGCAAATTTGGCTGCAGCATCTAACAAATAAGAAACAAGTCCCCATTTTGTTTAGTTGTTTAAAATCAAGCATAAAAAATTACATGTGCCGGGCGTGGGGCACTATCATTTCACTTTCACTTTCACACACACGAATGACGGTGATTTATAGCTCGGTCACGTCCTTGTTACCCACAAGGAAAACCAGCATGTTAGCCATATACGGTTTGAGAGAGGATCTGAGAGGGTTGGCAACATTTCCAGCAACACTGAAAACCCTCTCGGATGGTGCGCTCGTTGCACTAAAAGCTGCGAGTTGTGAAGCGCGTTCCATCCGCGAGCCGCATCACCGCGTGGAAAGTGAATGCGTCAAGCATAAACCAAGCTTAAATCAGGCTTTACACACACGTACTTGCGTGCGACTGGCGAGCAAAGGGAATCTCTCCCAGTTATTGCTCCACCATGTCAGGGGGGTTTCTTTAGGGTGGATGCATTCCTCCTGCAGGTAGCGAGTGAGCTCCAGCTCGGCTCAAACTCTCTTCTGGACGGTTGCAGAAGCAGTGCTTGTCCGGGACTTCAGCAGGTCTCCGAGCGTTTATTTATTTATTTATTTTGCCTGCAGCTCTGTCTCGGCCAAGGACTCTGGCTGCGCAGCAGCTGACATACTGAAAACCAAAGGAGCGAAGTAACGTTTCGTTTTGATACCAGTGCAGCCATCCTTCTCAACATGCATCATTGAGTTGAACCAAGTTCAGTAATCGCGGTGGCCCGTGATGCAGCACGGTGGGTTTCCTCATATTGCGATATTTCATTTTTGCGGTTACCGCGACAGCCCTACTAGAGATCAGTCTCTGTTACCGTGGTGATCTAGAGATCAGTCTCTGTTACCATGGCGATCGAGAGATCAGTCTCTGTTACCGTGGTGATCTAGAGATCAGTCTCTGTTACCATGGCGATCTATAGATCAGTCTCTGTTACCATGGTGATCTAGAGATCAGTCTCCATTACCGTGGTGATCTAGAGATCAGTCTCTGTTGCCGTGGTGATCTAGAGATCAGTCTCTGTTACCATGGTGCTCTAGAGATCAGTCTGTTATCGTGGATATCTAGGGATCAGTCTCTGTTACGGTGGATATCTAGGGATCAGTCTCTGTTACCATGGTGATCTAGAGATCAGTCTCTGTTACCATGGTGATCTAGAGATCAGTCTCTGTTACCATGGTGATCTAGAGATCAGTCTCTGTTACCATGGCGATCTAGAGATCAGTCTCTGTTACCATGGCGATCTAGAGATCAGTCTCTGTTACCATGGCGATCTAGAGATCAGTCTCCATTACCATGGCGATCTAGAGATCAGCTTCTGTTACCATGGCGATCTAGAGATCAGTCTCCATTACCATGGCGATCTAGAGATCAGCCTCTGTTACCATGGAGATCCAGCCCGCTCAAATAGATTCTGTTTTGTGATGCTAACTTTCAGCAGCAATTCTTCCCTCGTGTTCCAGCCTTCTGATGTATGTGATTCTGGTCAAACTTCATTAATGTGATTATTAAGTGATCAGGCTTCCAATGTAGTTGCTAATCCAAATGAAAGTGCTGTGATCTGTCTCTGCTTCCATCTTCCATGGAATCAGCAGCTGGCTAGAGCCCTCCATCAGCCTTAACCCTCCGGCAGGGCATGCAAACACATTCTGCGCAGATCACTGTTCACCAGCTTCTCTCACTCCTAGTAACTTATGCAGATTCAGATGCAGATATAATTCCAGGTGTGCATGTGAAGGTGACTGGTGACATATTGGTGTCTGATTCAGAAGCCACTGACAGCTGCTCCTGTGTGCCTGCACATGGAGGAGGAACAGCCAGTTCTGGGGTTTATAAATAGACTGAGGTGAGTAGTTGTGGTGATAGCATCTCCACACACTGATCTTTAGTCAGGCTGCAGCCCTAACAGCAGCTCTGGATATCAGCAGGGTCATCCAGACCATCTTGAGTTCCTGTGGGCCAGTGGAACCCGTTTCCTCCTTTTAATACATTAAAACATGTTCTCATAGTCTGAGCAGAGGAGACTTGAGACCGCACCTGGTAAATCTGACACACACGCACGCACACACGCACACACACACACACACACACACACACACACACACACACACACACACACACACACACACACACACACACACACACACACACACACACACACACACAGTGCATCAACTGTCCTTGTCCTTTTCCTCAACCAACACTTGTTCATGTTCTCATGTGCAGAGCAGAAAGTGGACGGGGGTGGGGGGCTGCATACATCTACATAAGTCTTTGAACATTAATGTGCTCATCTATTGGTGTGTGTGTGTGTGTGTGTGTGTGTGTGTGTGTGTGTGTATTCCTTTGTTTTGCTCTGAGTTGCTGGGTGATGGGACCAGCTGGAAGGGCCAAAGCCTTTCACCGCCCTCCCTGCTGCCCTGAAGACGGCCAGCAGGGAGGGCGGTTTTAACTGGGTGAAACAAAGGAGAACGCGTGGAGCAGGTGGAGCATTTCTGCTGTTTTATGTCCTGGTGTGGAGATATGACGAGAGAGAGAGAGCAGACAGAGGAAGTGGAGCAGGAGTATTTAGCAGCATTAAGACACATTCTCCTGTCAGAACCCTCATCAGGAGCTCAATGGGAGTGTCGGACCAGAACCCCCCACGGCCAGAGTGGATACAGACACCGGGTCGGCCGCCTCCTCTATGTGCATGATGAGAATGAGCAAAGACATGGGCATGTCCCTCTGACTGGGACATTCTCAGTGAATGAAAGGGTTCATGAAGGAGGGGGGGGGGGGGGGGGACTGCACCATGCACTTGTGAGAGGAAGTCATTGATTCAGCAGAAAGCCCTCCAATAGCTCAGCAGCTAGTCATACAGCTCAGAGGAGAAGTTGGAGTAGCTCTGGAATTCTGACTCAGAAGGAAAACTAGGAATGAAAGTGATACTAGGATTTGGGTTGTAGCTGAGTTTAGACTTCCCTGAGCTTCAGTTTGGATGGTGGGTAAAGACTTGCTGAATGGTGAGGAGACAGGACACACACTCTCAGCCTAAGTAATAGGGCTGTAGCGAAGCCTCGATGGCGTCGACGGCTCGATTCTAAAAATTCGTCGACGTCAGATCCGGAAGTCGACGCACCACACCCACTTGTTGCATCCCCAGGAGTTTGTAAATAGAGGTGGAATTTCCCCTATTTTTCCTCTAGTTCTCCCTCTTCTCCGTCTTCAATAACATCTCCGCCAAATACCGAAGACCCGGAACAATGTCCGTCCGCTACTAGATTCCTTTCCTGTTTTGCCCGCCTTCGTCTCCCGGCAACGGAGAACAACTTCCGGGGTCAAATGCACTGCTCCATCTCTACCGCAGATGTAGAAAATCACCGGGAGCGTTTCTCCCTTCATAAAGGAGCTTCTTTCAGACATTAGGAGAGATGTTTTTGTGGTAGCAGTCTCTCCTCCATGCTGGCCTGTTTGCTGGGTATTTTTGGTTTATTTAAACTTGGTAACTTGAATTTAACGTTGGTAAAGCTACTGTTAGCATTTTCGCTAACAGCTTCTTGCGTTTGGATAAGCTGTTACGTTTTGGTTTAGAGTTCATCTTTTTTGTGCGTAGATCTCCCTTTTATTACATTTAGAGTGTTGTGGGTTTTCGGTTTAGTTTAAAATATCACCTTGAGTTTGGTTTAACCACCCAGTTTAGAGTTTGGACCTTTGGAGATCCTTATTTTGGTCCAGAACCCAGTAATCTTTGGCCAGGGACATCCCTAGTTATTTGTACT